TCGTTGAATCATCTATAGATGTTGACTCAACTGTTGTTGATTGTTGTGTAGTTGAGGCAATTGTAGTCGATTGGTCTGCTGTTGTTGATTCCTCTTTTGATGTAGGACTTTGTGTAGTCGATGCACCTGTAGTCGATTCTTGTGTCGTTGAGGCGCTAGTAGTTGATCCGTCTCCTGTAGTCGAGTCCTCTGTTGTTGATTGTTTTGTAGTTGACATAATAGTAGTTAACTCTTCGCTTGTTAAATCTTCTGTTGTCGACTCTCTTGAAGTTGACTGTTGTGTAGTCGACTTGTCTGTAGAAAATTGCTGTGTGGTTGACAATCTTGTCGTTGAATCATATATAGATGTTGACTCAACTGTTGTCGATTGTTGTGTAGTTGAGGCAACTTTCGTCGATTGGTCTGCTGTTGTTGATTCTTCTGTTGATGCAGGATTTCGTGTAGTCGATGCACCTGTAGTCGATACTTGTGTCGTTGACGCTCCAGTAGTTGATCCGTCTCCTGTAGTCGAGTCCTCTGTTGTTAATTGTTTTGTAGTTGACGTAATAGTAGTTAACTCATCGCTTGTTAAATCTTCTGTTGTCGACTCCCTTGAAGTTAATTGTTGTGTAGTCGACTTGTCTGTAGAAAATTTCTGTGTGGTTGACAGTCTTGTCGTTGAATCATCTATAGATGTTGACTTAACTGTTGTTGATTGTTGTGTAGTTGAGGAAATTGTCGTCAATTGGTCTGCCGTTGTTGATTCTTCTGTTGATGTGGGATTTTGTGTAGTCGATGCACCTGTAGTTGATCCTTGTGTCACTGAAGCACCAGTAGTTGATGCGTCTTCTGTAGTCGAGTCCTCTGTTGTTGATTGTTTTTTAGTTGACGTAATAGTAGTTAACTCTTCGCTTGTTAAATCTTCTGTTGTAGACTCTCTTGAAGTTGATTGTTGTGTAGTCGACTTGTCTGTAGAAAATTGCTGTGTGGTTGACAGTCTTCTCGTTGAATCATCTATAGATGTTGACTTAACTGTTGTCAATTGTTGTGTAGTTGAGGCAAATGTCGTTGATTGGTCAGTTGTTGTAGATTCTTCTGTTGACGGTTCTGTTGATGTAGGATTTTGTGTAGTCGATGCAACTGT